AATTATTTTTGTAATTCGTACCAAGTTTGTTCTTTTTTGCAAGTCGGGTTACAAAGATTTTCAAAAAAGTGCCCAGCATTGAATATTTGTGCCTAAACCGTGCCAAAACTGTGCCCAAACTGTGCCTAAAATGTGCCTTAGCAATATTTAAAACGTGCCTTAACTGTGCCTAAAGTGTGCCTAATCTGTGCCTTTGCATGTTTTTTTCCCGTGCTTTGGCACAAAAACCGTGCCTTTTCTTGAGCGCGAATCGTGCATAAGGCACGGTGTTACGCTCGTGTACACCAGTAGCGTGCGCCAAGCCTCCCGCGATCCCCGAGCCAAACTGGGGCCATTCAAATGCCGCTTTATAGGTCCATTTAGGTGATCAAAAGCCCCCACTCCAGGGAAACTAAGATCAGTAATAAGTAACAATGTAGATTTCTAATTTAGTGTGGGAAAAGTGCAGGCAAGTAACAATGTAGTACTTGTATAAGGCAGCCTTCTGGGTCTCATTGGCATACCCTCACCCAAAAATTTACCCAGTGTACCCTGGGGGAGGTATGTTAGGATTGTTTGGGTTGGGATGGCTGCTGGGATCCCGGAACACTTAGCCTATATCAGACCTAGCTGGGCTGAATTTTGCTACAATAAACTAGACTTATTTAATTAACTTCCAAAACCTCTCCCTATACTAGAGTAGTATTTTTCCAGAAAATACCGAGGTCAACACTTTCTTTGTTATTAAACTGAGCTGGCGGTAAATTAAAATTTGCCAATTGATCGGTTTCCTTGAAAATGATAACCTATTCTAGACACAAACTCTGTGATTTCTTAACCCTATTTCAGACTAAGTTGCTTGAAAACCATACCCTTCACTGTGGCACATACCTGTATATCCCATAATATTATATAACAGTATTCCCCTTTCCAGGGAGTGTACCCCCTCCTCTCCCCCAGAACTATTCCCTAAGCTGCACCTTTGAAGACATGTTAGAATTTTTCCTGTTGCCTTGTTTCAGCCATGTTGTTTGTTGTCAGTGATACCTTGACTCAACAACTAGTTGAAAAAAAAAGATGGAACCACGATGGCAGAAGAACTCTGCGGATGGGAATTATGGGCATAATTGTTGGACCAATTCAAAGGACATGGTTTCTTACACTGGAACGCTTTATACCCCCTACATCCAAGATACAGATTGTCAAGAAATTAATTGTAGACCAAACAATATATGGGCCATTTATTATATTCTTCTTTTATTCACTTTCTGGGATTTTGGCTGGAAAAGAACTCCGTGAAGTTAAACTATTGTTGCAAGAGAGATATATAAAGACTCTTCTGACTGGGTACAAGATCTGGCCTTTGGTACAGGCAGTGAATTTTTCAGTAGTACCTCTTCAGCACCGAGCCAATTTTGTTCAATTAGTTTCTCTTTGTTGGAATATGTACCTGTCCTGGATGGCAAACAAATCAATAGGTAGTGATGTGGAACTTCAAACTTGTGCTGAATTAGTACCCAGTCAACAAGCCAAAAACATTTAACAACTTAACTATATCACTAGCCAGAGTTGCAGCTCAATACAGGATACATCTCGACCAACTGAACAAAAACTATATAACAATTTAGACTAACCTGCAAATTGACAGAGGACATATGACTGTGAAAAAGGACAGATCATAGACCGCTCATGTTTATAGAGTCCTCACCACAAATAACATTATGGATGAAAAGATTCACTGAAAGGTGACTTTTTAGGACAATAATAACAATTATTGGACGAGGTTGAGCAAAATATTGTGATTTGTCAGTGGCAAGCATATCAGCGAGTAGAAGTAAGGGCTGAGACAAATAATTGATCTGCATGACACTGACAAATCAGGATATCTTGTGACAACCAACTTCAATAATATTGTTTTATTATTTGGTCTCTGAGTTTGTATCTGCCATTTTGCCGTTGTCACGTAAGAGTGATCAAATGGAGGAGAAAAGAGTGGTTTCATTTACTTATGAGCAGAACATCATTTGCAGCCAAACACAGTTGGACGACATCGCGCATGAGTAGACTATTACTTGTAGGCAGTTATTTGCAGGCCTGCATGTTGTGGGCTCTTGGCCAATGAAAAGGAAGACTGAAAAGCTTGCATTGAATGATAATGATCAGTTTTTAATTCCCTCAACAAACAGAACGCAAGTCCTTTCCGTCTGAAAATGAGTTTTGCATGGAGAAAAAAATCAGTCTCTGACAAAAGTGGTTCTATTAAAGAGCTCTGCACTCAGATGCCCATATTAAACCTGGATATAATTCCTAGCCTTAAATCATTTACCAAAAAAAAACAAAATTATTGCAATTTTTTATAATACAGCTACCGGTATATACATATGCATACATATAACTTTATTTCAACTCAGATTTAAAGTAGCTCGCAATCTGAGTGAAATTCAACATACAAATCATAAATATAAAACATAAAATATCCACATACGTGCATACAAATAGTCTCATTTAAAAGCTACACAGCAATATTGTATTTAGAATTCTAGACTTGAATATGATGAGTGTCTCAGAAATTCTGATGCCATCAGTCAGTGTATGTATTCCACCCTCGGGGCAGGAGCATAGCCAGCCTACAGACCTGTAGGCCCGGGCCTACAAATTTTTGGTTTGATCACTCCAGCTTCTAATAGATTATGCATTGTTGGGAGTGAGCTAAAAAGTGTAAGAGCTCAAAGTGTTGGTGAGGTCAGTGCGTCCTAGTAATGCAAGCAGTTTTCAAGATATGTGGAAATGAAAGTCAGCCAGGCCTACAACCTAGTCGAAAAGCTGGCTACACCCCTGTGGGGAGCAGCACATCTGAATAGTAAATTGTAATCAACAGGTGGTAGTCCTCATGCTTGATATTAGTCTAACTTATAGACACCTCTGAGGTTGTAGGCTGTTGCTCGCTCTGCTTAGTGCAGTGACCATGAAGATGAAACCTCCTTTAGTTAGTAGAATAGTTTCTATTGATAGGATTTATTACAATTTTTTACAATTATATCTATTAAAATTGATCACAAGAATTCATATATAGTGATCATGATCATTATTGTTAGTGGTGTTTTGATCTAAGGCCTCCTTGGTTGTCCTTCTGCCAAGAGCCTTTAGCATCTCTTCTGTATTCACAAAAAGAATCTTATGAAAATTTACTACTACAAGTCAACACTATTATGAACTGCGCTTTTGTTTAGAACATGTTTTTAAGATTGACGAAGTTGTTTCCCATAAAAGAGTTGCGTGCACTATCATAAANTTGACAGAGGACATATGACTGTGAAAAAGGACAGATCATAGACCGCTCATGTTTATAGAGTCCTCACCACAAATAACATTATGGATGAAAAGATTCACTGAAAGGTGACTTTTTAGGACAATAATAACAATTATTGGACGAGGTTGAGCAAAATATTGTGATTTGTCAGTGGCAAGCATATCAGCGAGTAGAAGTAAGGGCTGAGACAAATAATTGATCTGCATGACACTGACAAATCAGGATATCTTGTGACAACCAACTTCAATAATATTGTTTTATTATTTGGTCTCTGAGTTTGTATCTGCCATTTTGCCGTTGTCACGTAAGAGTGATCAAATGGAGGAGAAAAGAGTGGTTTCATTTACTTATGAGCAGAACATCATTTGCAGCCAAACACAGTTGGACGACATCGCGCATGAGTAGACTATTACTTGTAGGCAGTTATTTGCAGGCCTGCATGTTGTGGGCTCTTGGCCAATGAAAAGGAAGACTGAAAAGCTTGCATTGAATGATAATGATCAGTTTTTAATTCCCTCAACAAACAGAACGCAAGTCCTTTCCGTCTGAAAATGAGTTTTGCATGGAGAAAAAAATCAGTCTCTGACAAAAGTGGTTCTATTAAAGAGCTCTGCACTCAGATGCCCATATTAAACCTGGATATAATTCCTAGCCTTAAATCATTTACCAAAAAAAAACAAAATTATTGCAATTTTTTATAATACAGCTACCGGTATATACATATGCATACATATAACTTTATTTCAACTCAGATTTAAAGTAGCTCGCAATCTGAGTGAAATTCAACATACAAATCATAAATATAAAACATAAAATATCCACATACGTGCATACAAATAGTCTCATTTAAAAGCTACACAGCAATATTGTATTTAGAATTCTAGACTTGAATATGATGAGTGTCTCAGAAATTCTGATGCCATCAGTCAGTGTATGTATTCCACCCTCGGGGCAGGAGCATAGCCAGCCTACAGACCTGTAGGCCCGGGCCTACAAATTTTTGGTTTGATCACTCCAGCTTCTAATAGATTATGCATTGTTGGGAGTGAGCTAAAAAGTGTAAGAGCTCAAAGTGTTGGTGAGGTCAGTGCGTCCTAGTAATGCAAGCAGTTTTCAAGATATGTGGAAATGAAAGTCAGCCAGGCCTACAACCTAGTCGAAAAGCTGGCTACACCCCTGTGGGGAGCAGCACATCTGAATAGTAAATTGTAATCAACAGGTGGTAGTCCTCATGCTTGATATTAGTCTAACTTATAGACACCTCTGAGGTTGTAGGCTGTTGCTCGCTCTGCTTAGTGCAGTGACCATGAAGATGAAACCTCCTTTAGTTAGTAGAATAGTTTCTATTGATAGGATTTATTACAATTTTTTACAATTATATCTATTAAAATTGATCACAAGAATTCATATATAGTGATCATGATCATTATTGTTAGTGGTGTTTTGATCTAAGGCCTCCTTGGTTGTCCTTCTGCCAAGAGCCTTTAGCATCTCTTCTGTATTCACAAAAAGAATCTTATGAAAATTTACTACTACAAGTCAACACTATTATGAACTGCGCTTTTGTTTAGAACATGTTTTTAAGATTGACGAAGTTGTTTCCCATAAAAGAGTTGCGTGCACTATCATAAACGGACTTTGTTAGCAGTCTGGAGGCTTCTTTGTGCTTTCTTTACCTTTTTTTAATTCATCATTATATTACTTCCTGATGTTTCTGCTTGTTTGTGATCCGCCAATTTCTATGAAATGAAAATAGTGTGCCGTTACCTTGGGACAAGCTCAAATTGAGGGAATCTGAACATAGGTAATTGCTATTATCCTTAACAACAAGATAAGAAAGGAAAACTTTCAAAGTCTGGTGCTATGTTGTGGTGGATCCAAATCAGCCGTAGGTAATTGGAGTTTATATTGGCCCTAATTAAGGCAGAGAAATTAGATCCAAAAATAGTGTCGTATTTTACGATAGACTGCCTGTTTTTAGGCTAACTGTTCTCGTTAATGTACTTATACTTACTCAAACAAAAAATAAAATAGTGAACGGCGACGGTTCGCATATATATTTTATTTTTGCGCTGCCGCTAGCATTTCTCATTTTCTCACCGCAGCCTATAAAGGTTTTGAATTTTTTTCATCCAAAGAAATTCGTTTTTTATCTTTTGCGCTAACTTTTTCTCATTTATCCACGACGGGCGGACGTACGCTGACGTAATAATTAAATTTTCTGCCTGATCGATGATGGGTTTCCAATTTCTATAGCAATGGGGTTCCGCCGAGTGCGCTCGCTATTACAGGATTTTGTAAGTTACACAAAAATCTAACCTAAATTTAAACAAATGTTTATGTCTAATAAATTGAACTGTTTTAAACAAGCGGAGTTTTTTTTTTTAAATTTCGTGAGTTACGTACTTGAAGACGTCATCGTCTTGAGACAACGTTCATGTTTTGACAAGATAAAATTGACAAAATGTTGACCAAGTGAGTTGAATAACAATAAGAAATGTTTTATAAATTGCGGTATGAAATTTTTTATGAAATTGCGACAGCTTACTTTATTACAAAGTGCAATGGACTGTCTAATTGATTCCAAACTGCGACAAGTTTTTTTTGTTTTATAATTACAAAGTGCGACAGGGTTTATTTCATTGCGACAAGGATTACAAAACGTGACGATTTTACTGCTTGCAACAGTACGCGCGTTCCTCCACATTCCTCCACCGTCCCTTCCCTCCCTTGAGTTTAAAGGCATGCCGTGCTGCAAGCAAAGACAGAAGTGCTTCTCACTCAAGTTTGTATGCGCATATTTAGTTTAAATTATCTTTCAGAACTACGTAATCATTCGCTCGTTCTTCAGTCGCAACCAAATAGCAAGGACAAGAAAGGTAGGTCTCCGATGAACACTTTGAAATTAGTTTTAATCGTAAAATCTATGCTCCTTAAAACAAAATGAACACGCTTAAGCCCCGCACGATGACATAGATCCCTACCGGGGATCCGTAGGTTGGAAGAACTGTTTATTACGGGAGCAATTGTCTTGTGTATTAAACGCAGCATTACCACGTGTTAAGTTTCCGCTCTGTATAATTCTTTTAAAAACATTTCTACCTTAGTTATTTAATCTAAAGGCGATTATTTTACTAGCGAAAATCTTCCACAGTTCATTGGAAGATAAATATATCTTTATCTTTGATTGCATGCAATTGTCAATGACCACTTTAATTTTTGCAGAAATCTAT